TTTTTTCTATTTCTATCTCATTAATCAACTTCGTTGAATTTATTTTTAACACGTCATTCCCCAGTAGTCCATGCGTTTTTCGGCAATTTGTAACTATAATGGGTACTATTTCATATTTTTCTTTTAGTTCTATTGAACCTTCAAAGTAACCCATAATTGCTATAATCGAGCCATCAAACTGACGTAATTGTACGTTGGTTTTTTTTTAAAAACGGTTTTCCCATTTTTTCCCACAAATTTCTGGGTACTATCGTGACGTCACTACCAGTGTCGATTTGCATTTCGACAATACAGTTGTTGATTTTCACTTTTATTTTTGTATCTCCGTTCTTAGATCCAGTATTTTGTATATTATCCTTTTTACATTAAAAATCTGTCTATTTTCATCCTCTACTCTTTCCACATTTTTCGTTTTACATACTTCTTTGAAGTGATTTTTTTTAAACACTTTGAACATCTTTTTCCAAAGGCTGGGCATTTTTTTTTTTTTCATTTCATGAATTTTTCCACAATACGCATAATTTTTTTTTTTTGTTTGTACCGTATATGTTTCAGCCATTATTTCTTCGTAGGATTTATTTTTTTATTTTGGTTGTAGGTATGTATTAATTCCTGCCTGTTGTATAAATTCTATACACATATTCAAAGGCATGTTTGTAAGTTGTAACTGTTCCATTAACTTATATCTATGTGCTGAATTATGCATACCTTCAATTGATCTTAGTTGGATTAATTCTTCTTCCGTTGTCTGCTCTCCTGTTCCTAGTTTTTCGAATTCACAGTATTTACTCACACTTCTTAACCAGTGTAAATATTTTACTATCGGTTCATCCACTTCCTGCTTCATTGCCATAAACTTGGTCCTTTCTGCAATCACCAGTCTTTTCTTTGGCCTCATGTTTCCCTTAATAACCTGACTTATTTCTTTGAAAGTCATTTCTTCTAGTTCTCTAGGGTAAACAATTGTAGCAACCTTCATAATTGCTTCACAACCAGCGGTAGCCATAAACAAGTCGGTGATTTCATTTTCCCCTCCTCTGTTTTTGTTGTCTTTCAACTTTTTACATCTTGCATTAGCAGCAAAAGCAACGAATCCACATATCTCGTATTCTGGGTCTTCAGGACCAAAGAGTATCCTATTACGATTTATTGTTGTGTCGTGTATCTTGCTAAGTAAGCGTTCAACCTCTGTTCTTGTTGGTGTCCATTTATCATATGAGCTACCTGCTCATATGCAAATTATACTAATTTGCATCTCACTACACAAGTCCTAACTAAAAATAATAACCGGAATGGGAAACTATTTTAAATACACATGGTGTCCAATTTTTTTACTGTATTCAATAAGTAAAAATCATAAATTGTAAAAGATTATTATTACAGAAAGGCTACTAAATGAATAAGATTTGTTAGATCATAATTGATAAACCCAAATAAAGTTAATATTTTTTTGTATTAGAAACGAGTGGAAAATATATTCAAATCAGAATTCTAATTGTGAATCACCACAAGCAAAATATGCAATTTTTTTTACTGTATTCAATAAGTAAAAATCATAAATTGTAAAACTAAAAGATTACAGAAAGGCTACCTACATTTTTCAACCGATTTCAACAAAATTTTAATTTTTTTTTTTTTTTTTTGGCATGTAGTGTTTCTTATTGTCTTGCACACTTTTTTTCTTTTTTTTTTACATTCAAAATGCTTTAAAAATTCCATTTACAAGACAATTGTTTATAATAAAATTCTATTCAATCGGTAGAGACTCATAACGATTGAAAACAATGTTTTTGTTTGAGTTTGGGTTTGACCAATTTGTTAAAAAAAAAATAAAAAAAAAAATAATTAAGACATGCGTGTCCATCAACCTTAAACAATAATCTTTGTCAATTTTATTTTTCAGTCTTTATGATGGTGGATACTTGATCTATCTCTTACTGTTATATCCCCGGCAACGCCGGGCTCTACTACTAGTATATATATATATATATATATATATATATATATATATATATATATATATATATATATATATATATATTTGTGTGTACACGCATATATGTATGTGCATGTAAATATAAATATATTTGTGTATGTGTGTATATATGTATGTGTTTTTGGGTATAGAAATAGTAAGTCCTTACTAGATTAAATATTCGTTAATTTTTATATGTTTATATTAAATTTGGCACCTGTAGGTTATATTACTTTTGTCATATTTTCTTGATTGTACAGCAGCTCTTCGGTTTTAGTTGCCCACCCCCCATCTTCCCCCTTTTTTCTTTTCTTTTTTCTCTCTTTCTCTCTCTCTCATCTTCTGATTTTTAAGTTTTGATTATATCGCCTTTTATTGTGCGTAGTGTCACCACAAATGTTTACACTTGTTCCCGGTGTCAGTTTTGAATTTGATTTAGGCCAGCAATTCAGTAATGAATTATGCATCGGAAAATAATTCATATTTATTTGTATCTCACTCATTTAAACCACCATTTAACTTCTCTCTCTTAAATTTTAATCCCCACCTTCACTTTTAGGCCTTCCTGTTCTTCTCTCTTCTGTTACTCCCCCCCCCTCACTAGAGCTTTCATTTACTTCTCACATTCATCCCCCCCACACTCATACATACACTCTCACTAAATTTTATTTTTTATTCCCGGAGTTATTTTTTCCAAATTCTTTTTGAATTTGCAGGTCTGATGAATTGGATTGTAATTACGATTTCAATGTAATAAATTATAACCATGGAATATTAGTGTTTAAGCTTTTTTTTTTTTATATGATATCCAAGTATATGATTGGTGTATAAATTTTTGTAGTGATTTTTATAACATGTTTATGTTATAATTTTCAAATAAATAATTTTATATATATAATATATATGTGGAATTCAGTCACTTGTATCAACAACTTTTTATTGATTAATGTTAACAATATTATAGCTTTATTAAAGTAAAGTGGTTGATATAAAACAATTCTTCACTCATGTTTTTTTTTTTTTTTTTTTTTTTTGTAACAATCATGAATTTTTATAATTTTATATGCATTCACTTGATTTGTCTCTGGCACATTATTATAGTTATTTTTTATGAATTAGTCATAATTCTGTTTAAGTAGAGAAATTCGATGGTAATAAAACTCCTTGTATCTCCTTCTATTCACTCAGAATAATGGACATGGAGATTATAATTCTGTTTAAATTTCTGTTATTCTTGTGTTAATAAGAATTTGTTTTGTCTTATTTATTTTCCTTTGAATTTTCCCAATATCTATCTTTATCCTTATGCTTTGTCTTTTTCTATTTATCTTGAAACATAATCGGCAATGTTATCATTAATAAATCTGATATCTTATGTTTTTTTTGTTTTTTGTTTTTTTGTTTTTTTCTCACATTTGTTTTGGGGCTGATAAGGATGTCAACCTGACAAGCTGGTTTGTGTTGAAGAAAGGTATGAACAGCAAAGGCACAGGTTTATATCTAGCTAAAACATCAGTTTTATTACACCAAAACAACATGTGTTTTTATAACTAAACGGAAAAGGATTCTTCCAGGAGAAATGTCTGGATTGTAGTCAGATTTGGGTAGTCTGGTCCAGTAACCTGGGAGATCACTGATTGGCAAGTTGGTCGTCAGTCAGATGGCAGGTAAGGAAAACAGGACTGTCAGTTAAGGCAGGCAAAACAGTAAAGGCTTAGGAACTGAAACAACAAGTTTTGTGTCTTACCCTAACAAGAACAGTTTGTTAGAGTCTCTCCCAAGAACTCATTTGTGAGGTCTGCAGATGACGAACCAGCAGGAATGTGTTAGCAACAGGAAGCTGGAATGGTTGCCACCTGCTTCGACAATTCGGGTGAATTGTCAGAGATATTCCAACTCAAGGGTGGAAATCTCCTACCTCCTGGCCATCTATTTCTATGATTTGGGTGAATCATTGGAGATATTCCAACTTGTAGAAGGAAACCTCCCCCCTAAACAAAGCTGAGTCGGTGAGACGATACTAACTTCAGTGGTGGATCTTGCTGAAGAGTATCACTCAGCAGGTTACTGGGGAGATCAAAAGTGGATATCAAGTAGTTCACAGATACTACAATGCTAATCTTAATATTTATTGACAAAAATACATCACTTTGGCGCAGGGCCAGAAAAAAAGTGGGGCAGAGGCTTGTCATGCAAAGTCTAGTTACTAAAAAAAATGAACACTATTCTCACATTCAACCCAACTACACAAACAATATTCCTTTTGTCCATCTCTTTTCATCCATCACCTAACACTCTATACTACTTGCAAGCTCATCACTTATTCTATAAATACTAACATGCAAGGGGTTGGGTGGGATCAGAACATCGAGCGGCGGGTGGGTATGGATCACACAACAGGTTTCATTTTATCAGGCTGTTCGAATACTGATGGAGTGTACCATGGCAGTACACTAAAGCTAAAAAAACACTCTAGTTTGTCACCTTTCACATGTACCAAACTGGTTTCTTTTATCCATCTGTCGCAGAAGTTTTCCTTGGTCAGTCTTTGTTTGTCACATCTTCACTTTGAGCTGATGTTTGAAGAATGCAATCTGGTCATGGTTAGACAGCATATCTCCATGCAAGACCACGAGTTGCCTGGGCCGAGAAGGTAGTTTTTGTCAAAAACAGGTCAAATTTATGCTATTACATGTGTTCTTCTCCTCCCTGGCTACTGGGAGTAGAGCACTAAATATAAAAATATCCTGATAGTTGTTTAATTACTAGTTATGATTTCCTTATTCAACATGCTTAAAGGTATGTTTTTAACTCTAAATATATCCGATAGTTGTTTAATTACCAGTTAACGTTCCCTTATACAACATTTACTCCCTGACTGCTGATTCAGTTCTGGGAGTAGAAAGAGCTGGTGATGGTCAAGGTCATCCTGCTTGTTTTTGTTTAGAGGCAGCCAGCAGCGGCTGCAACACATTCTCTCACATAATTTTGTAATAAACCCTTTTAATATGTTTGCTATTCTCAGGGGTCTTCCTGGTGGTGCTGACAACGGTGAGAGAGGTTACATGTTGACATTTGTAATTGCCTACATCAGAGTAAGTATAGTTTTCATTTTCCAGTTTTACTTGACTTTGAAAAGCTTCCCTTTTTTTACTAGTTTAAATGCTCACAAATTCTTCCAAAAACTAAAAGAAATTTCCATTTTAAAAATAACACCTGTCTGGCATGACATTTATACACAGTTACATGTAGACAAACATAGAAACGGTTACTGCTTAACTTTTTAAGTGTTGAATGCTAAACAAAGATATTCATTTTAGAAAATCTATCTTCAGTATCTATGATTACTTTTTTTTTTAATTAATATACCCTTAATGATATTTGAGTAAATAACATAGCATTATGGAGTAAGTCTGGTTATTCATTAACATACAAGTTATATGAACTTTAAGACTCAGGAATATTGGAATGGGTGATGAAGGCAGTTTTATCAAATGTCATAAATAAAAATTTAAATTCATATATACAACTTTATGTAAAATTTAAATACATAAGTAATGAATAGGTTAATGTTATAAAAATACAACTAGATTTCCTTCATTTTATTATTAGTATGATATTAGTTTGTATTAGCTTTGTTCAACTTTTCTATGAAAACCTTAACTGGTTTAAGATTTCAGAATATCTGGTTGATTTAATAAAAGAGGCTCCCTGGGAATATCGAGGCTGATAAGGCAGCCAAGGAATACCTCTCAATGAACATATCAAATTCAAAAATCCCTTTACAGACTTGAAAGCCACAATTAATTCTTATGTCCTCAACCAATGGCAAAAATCATGGAATACACACACAAACAATAAATTATATCAAATAAAACTCATTCTGACTGTATGGCATCACAGTACCAGACACTCAAGAAAAGATGATGTCACACTTACAAGACTCAAAATTGGACACACCCACATAACCCACTCCTTCATCTTAAAAAATGAAGACCTTCTAAAATGCCCAAACTGCTAAGAAGTACTCACTGTCAAACATTTTTTAATTAACTGAAAATAACTGACACCTATACAAAAATACTTCTACAATGTACCCAACCTTAGGGCTTTCTTTTAGTGTATCGAACCCAAAGCCATTTTAGAATTGTCATATTCCGTATTTAGTTACGTGGGAGATGTGAAAACAATGTGGGCGAAATACTGCGTTTGGTTGCAAACAATGAAATTCAGAATCGAAAGAACAAGAAAGACTGTAGATATATTTTATAGCCCTTTTAGTGAGGAAAATAAGAACAAGTAAAAGGTTCATATTTAAGAAGTTAACTTGACATATGGAAGGGGAAAGGTACCCTTTGACAAAGCGTCGGACGAGAGTTCATTAGCAGCAGCAGTCACATGCTTCGTTCATCGCCGGGCCAGTGTGTCAGGAGCGAGTGACGTGACCCTTCTGCCTCCGACGTTGAATGGGACTCCTTTGACTTTCCCGTGTTGAACTTATACACGCCTATCGGCTCCAAATGGCAATTTTTTGACTACGCGGGAGACGGTCCGATTGGTTGATTTAATTCTTTCATTTTTTTTTTTTGAGTTTATCCCAAACGGAAGTATCTGATGCGTAGACGTGCAGTTTTCATTTCGAGTCGGGGACTCGTGATGGTAACTTCCATTTATCGAAGCAGGGCAAGATCTCATCTTGTAACAGAATTCTTAAAAGTAACAAAACTCTACCCCAAAATATAAAAAGGAAACCAAATAAACACCGAGATACAAAATGCAACTAGAACTGTATTACATCCCCCACACTTATATAATAATAGGTACCTCCACTTTTCTGCTGAAAAAAACAGTATAGTATGATGAAAAAGGCCCCAAACTTAACAAAAACAGAGTTTGTTATTAAAAGGAAAGACCAACATATTTTTTATTAAATTTTTTAATCCTTCAATATCTGTCTATATTTTTGAAATGAGGTATTGTAATTATTTCCACTATTTACATTGTTCGGACTGGATCCAGCCAACACTCAAAGACAGTAGATAAAAGTGTTGGTTGGATCCAGTGACTTAACCCAAAGAGTTGTGAGTTCAATACCAGTCTATGGCAATGAACAAAAACTTGAAGAATTGAGTTAAAGATAGATAACTGAGACATCTGAATGAGGCATGTGGAATTAGAACAATCTACCCCAGTGGACAGAATAAAGGGGTCGGTTTGAAATTCTAATCACCTGAAGAATGTCAGAGTGTACAATGAATTGTGAATATGGCAACAAAGATGAGGACAAATGTAAATAGTGTAAATAATTTTTAATCCTTTCCAGCACATTTGAAATTTGAGTTAAAAATCTTGCTTTTCTTTTTTTGAATCAGCTGTCAGTATAATATTTACGTTTATATTTATTTATTTATTTTTTTTATTTTTTATTTTTTTCTGGTAAAAAACACGTTGATTTGGAAATTCTTGTAAAAATCAAATAATTGTTCCCTCCCATCATGAAATTATGAAATTTTGAGAAATTGTTTTCATCCCCAATTTTTTTTTTTTTTAATTAGTTGGAGAATGTAAATCAACAATTTTTTTTATTTTTTTTTTTTTTATTTTTTTTTTAAAACTACTACTCATAAATCTGCTACGAATTGCAAAATAAAAAAAGCATTTAAACTAAGACATTATTTAATTAGAAAAGCTTTTAATTGCTTTTATAAATAATATTTATTAAGGACTCGATTGTCTTAGGAAAAAATTTCTTTTTGATGAATAATGAATTTTTACAAGAATTGTTTTTTTTTTATTATTCCACTTTTAATTATAATGATTTATAATGTATAAATCTTTTAAAATATTGCATTATTTTCATCTGGTTAGGTGATATTAAATGAAAACTATATTTACTAATCAAAAATTGAAAAGCTTAATACAAAGATTTTTTTTAAATAATTTAAAATTTTTTATGTATGTAAAATATTATGTAACCTGTTATATTACGTGCCCCTGTTTGAAAGTATGGTCAACTATACACAACATTATCAGAAAATTAAAGCAATGACTATAGTAAATTTAAAGTCAACATTCCTAAAATTAGATTACATAGAATATTTTCCAACACTTTTAAGATTACTGAGTACTTAAAAATTATATCCACCATTTTCTTAAATTATGCTTTAACAGATAAAGTCTCCACAGAACAACAATAAAGGTGTTGACACATTTATGAGCACTTGTTAAATGATTTACAAGCAGTGACAAGCATGTAATCACTGCTACTGTTAGTTTTAAAAATCTGTTTCTCTGTTATTTTAAAAATAATATTTTTTTTAAATCAGCTAATATTCCTCAAATAAAATTTTAGAAAAGTATATTTTATTTATGGAAGATTTTTTAAACTGAGAATTAACTTTTGTTTACAAATGTGTCAAAAATGGCCAATTTTAAAGACTGAAAGCAACCAACAGTTGAGATTCCAATCAATATAATTTCTATTTAAAATACACCAAAGTATTTTGCTTACTGGAAATAGTAAATTTAATCATTTAGTTTTTAATTAAAGCTAAAAAGAAAGCTTCAAGAATGCTTTTTCATTTTTAAAAATTCATTTTAAACCTTCGGTATCAAAAATTAGTGGAGTACCTAAATAATAACAGCTTATAAAATAAATGTCTGCAAAACAGACTCAAAATAAAAACAAATCTTAAAAACTACCTGATTCGGTGCAAAATGACCCATGTGGTTAGTGGTCTTGTAAAATAACCTTTCTAAATCAAATCTAATAAGAAGTAGTGAGCAAGAAACAATGGTCCAACAACTTTGGGGCATTTTTCTTTTCTCTGATTTGAATGGTGTAAAAGCAAAATATAGAAAATTAATGATAAATTTCTAATCTACAATATTTTTCTAAATTGATAAATTAAGAAAAATAAAGGATATCTTTTGAATTTAGTGAAATAGAATCAATATCTGAATATGTGACTAACCTGTTGACAATTTTAACATAAAATAAATAATCAATTAGTTTGCTGCAGTAAATCAGATTTAATGATAATGTTCTTTTTAACTTTAACTAGCTTGATAACTATAAGTGATAAATAGTGTATATAAATACAATGACAATTGCTAAAACAAAAAAGAATTATCTATTTCTTTTAGTCTTTCAAGATCAAAATTAATTTTATAATATTAAGTTACTTGTTATTGTTGAGATCTACATATGAACCCTTTTTAAAAAAAAACGAAACAAAAAAACATGGGGAATTAAAATACTGCCAAGTGTAGTGATATCAAAAATATAAAACTGGGTCTATTAAAAATACCAAATATTTTTAAATAATAGTGAAACAAAACATTAGATATATTGTTGTAGCTTGTTCTCTGTTCATCAACAGGTCATATGAATTTGATACACCTACAACAGTGTATCAAATGGAATGTTCTTGACCTGACCAAGAAACTCTCTGTATTTTCATGGTGGTTTTCCACTCTTCTGAAATTTATTATTAACTTTTTCTACAGTCTGAAAAAGTGCCCAACATAATATGAAACATTTTTTATATATGTGTGTGTTATATATATATATATATATATATATATAAAACACGCACACACATCAAAAATTATTTTTTAAGAATGGTTGAATTTTGAACTTTTTTTTTTTTTTTTTCAGGACCTTGCTTTTGAGTATTATATCGTAGCTGAATCATTTGAGACCTCAGTACCTTGGGATAGGTGAGTAGTGAGACCTTCATGAAAATACACTTTGATTTACCATATTATCTCTGTCAAAGGCAGATATATTTTTAAGATTGTATTCAGGTGTAAGTAATTCAACAAATTTTATTTCCCATCAATCTGTTCCTAACTGATAAAGTCACATAATTAAACAATTATGGCCAAAACGTTGTGATAACAATAACAAAGATTAGGATAATAGTACAAATATAAATATTGTAAATAATTATTTTGTTACCTAATAATTGTCAACCAAATATGATTTACTTTTATTATTTATTTAGACAATATCAGATTTTTGCATTGTAGGTCCACTTCCTTCTATTCCTGGAAAATGCCTATTAGATATTGTCCATAGAATTCTTTAGAAATGATATTAATGATTTGCCATTGAAAAATTAATATATGCAAAGTCAGAAGGAATATTCCAATTGAATAAATAAGTGTCATGAAATTTTCTTAAAAGTTGAATAACTTTTATTGCTTTCCTATGGGACAATAGCCTAGTGGATTAACGTGTTGGTTTGTGAATTTGATTACATAGTAATGATGAGTTCAATCCCTGGGTCAGTCAGTGTGTACTTGGACTCTGTAGAAACAGGTGGTCAATAGGTGAGCATTAGTCGAGATATCCCTAGACATGAGCAGTGCAATAAGAATAATCTACTCCTGTAGATTAAATAAAGGATTCAGTTCAAAATTCCCTGTAAGTTGCCTGGATCATTCTGATGAAGACTGAAGATCACACTGGATGAAATGTGATAACAACAACAACAAAGATTAGGACAATCATCCACATTTAAATAATATAAATATTGATGATAGGAATTAACTCATTAAGATTGATTTATGAGCATAATAGATAAGAATTCATGAAATAAATCTATTATCTATTCTTTTCTTTCTTTTAGTGTTTTGCTAAAATATTAAGTTTTGTTGTAAATGAGAAATATTTAGCATGTTTTCTCTCCCAAAATCTTCAAATGTTCTTTTAAAAAAAAAATTTGTAGCATTTATAATTTTAACTATAATTAATAAATCACAAGTTATTGCTTTTGATTTTGGTGATTAAATGTTTTTTGTTTTTTTTTATTGTTACTTTTTCACATTGCTTTTTTTTTTTTTTCTTTTTTATAGAGTGATTGATTTGTGTCGAAATGTAAAGCATCGAATCCACCAGGAATGTAAGGAAAAAGGAGTACAGTGGCCACCATATACAACTTGCAGGTATTGCATTTCTCTTTTTTTTATTCCGGCTTATGGTTATAGTTCCTGTATGATTACCAAAGTTAAGCAACATTGTGCCTGATCAGTACATAGATAGGTGACCAAATATCAGGTGTTGTAAGCTTGGATGTGTGGGTGGTGTAATGGCTAATAGCTTGGAATTATTAATCGGAGAGCCAAGTTCCAATTCTAGTTAGGTTTGTTATATTCACTTACTTGGGAAAGGTATAAATCCACCGCTACTCTCCTCAGCCATGGGCTTAGTAAGACTTGTATCACTAAATTATTATATCTCAAAAGAAAATTCTTAAAATCTAAAAATATTTTCTGGCTTTAAATAACAGTTGAAAAAAAAAAAAAAAAAAACTCAATCAATCAAAACAATCTTTATTGCATAGTTCATTTGAAGAATCTGATCCCCCCCCTTTCCTCACTTGAAAATAAATGCTTCAAAATATTTTTACTGAAATGCACAAATAGTTAAGAATTGGGTACTTTTACTTAGGTACAGTACAATTTGCAACATTATTATGCTGCATCTTATATACAGTGACTGTTAAAGTCTGGATACATGGGTGAGAATGCAAATTTATTTTCAATAATCTTATTCACATGGTTTGTACAGGTCCTGGAAACCTTGAAAATTGACAGGGCCTTTTCCAGGTCTTGAAAAGTCCTGAAAAAACAGCAATAGCCCAAAAACTCCTTGAAAGGTCCTGGAATTTTCTAACTTGGGCTGCCTACACATCCTTTTTCTCAATTCATGAAAGTCAAAATGCCAAATCCCAGAAATCTGGCTTTTTTACAAGCTAAAATTGTCCTTTAAGAAAAATGGTTTTTTAGTTGTCAGTAATATTTGGCAGTTATTGCAAACGGTAGTTTGTTTCCTCGATTAGAAAGAGTTCATGACGTCCTTGTTACTTCCGTATTTTCTTGTCTGTGTGATGAGAAAAAAAGGGAGAAAGATTATGAAAGTGTCACCTCCTAGTGGCTACCCTCACTCAACAAAAAAAGAGAAAAAGCAAAGAAAGCACCGGAGACAAGTAAATATCTTTGTCCAAGATAAGCACTCATTGAATTTGTAGTTGAAAATAAATTATTTTACAATAATAAAATACATTTTGTCACAGCATATTTTCTCTCAAAAAATGGATTTTCATACTTTTATAGGGGTAAAATATTGAAAAATGACTGTTTTATCCTCACCTAAACTAATATCAAGGAAACTTTTGATCTGAACCCCATGAAACTAGGTATTTTCTGAAAGCAAAGGATATATTCTTTCATTTAAAAGTAAAATTTTGTAAATGACTCCTTTTTTTTTTTCAGTGGGTAAAATGTGAAAAAATAGTGAAAATGTTGCATTTTTTTTTTTGTTCTAAACAAATATTTCCCCCATTAATGGGAAATTAACCTTTTTTTTCTTTTTTTTTTAAATCAGAAAGCCTAAATCATAATCAAAGTATTTCAGGCATAAAATTGAGAGTTTTGAAGGAAATCAACATTCCTAGGGGTTCAAGATGTGACAAAATCCATTGGTAATTTTCAATTATATGACTAAAAGGGTTAAAAAAAATTGACAATTGCCACGGAAATTTTTTAGTAAAAGGCAAAAGATTTATCTGCAATTCCTAACCACCAGAAACCAATTTTTTTTTGTTTTTTTTTTTCCAAAAAGGAAAATTAAACCTAATTGACTTTGACATCTAGGTCAAAGGTCAGCCGGTCAGCCAGCCAGCCAGCAATAAACAGCAAACCTTAGAACAAGTTGTAATAAAACCCACCACTCCCAGATAAAAGCAAAAAAAAAAAAAAAGGGTCAACATTACTGAATTGATATAACATATGTTTGAACAATGGCTTGATGAGTTTTGTTTTGTTTCGTTTTTAACACCCGTGACCCGGTGATGACAACAACACTTAGCAGACGACATTGTTTTTTTCACTGCATGTCTTTTCGTATTTCCATCGCAGGTCCATTTAGCCTTTTTTTTTATTCAATGATGTTCATGCCAAATGAAAGAGAAAGGAATGAATTTTGAATGATGTTATTTTGAAGTTGAAAATAAATATTTTTTCAAAAAAAAAGGGGATTTTTCTCAGAAAATTGGGCATAATTTCTTAATGCTAACTGCCGAAAGTGACATTTTCCACAGCCAAATCGAAGATTAATTACCAGTGAATAATTCATGTGCAAACAATAGCCGTCTGGATCCTTATAAAAAATCTGCCCTAAAAAGGTCCAGAAGTTTACTGATTGAAAAAAAACCTGTTGCGCATAATTGTATTTTTTTTCACGGTCAGTTTCCATTATTTCATCTTGATATTATCATTTTTTGGACAGCCAAGTCATCAAAGATTCAGGAAAACAGTTTTCGCATAGGTTTTCTTTAAGAACTTTACATTCTATGAGGTGTTTAAAATGTTACTGACGGATGAGATTTTTTTGCCGAATATTTCTTTATTTACGCCATGTTGGACTTTCCTATGTGACAAAAACAAGGCTTTTAAGCAGCCGTGTTGTAGTATAATAGACTATATTCATTATTCTTGGCCCTTCAGGAATTTTTTTTTTTTTTTTTTTTTTTTTTAAACCTATTATAAGGAAATTTTATCAGACTTGAGAAATTTACATAACCAGATTTATTTGAAGAAAAATTTACCTTTAATAACTTCCGTGGACATTGAAAATGAATCTACCAACAATTATAACTTCTTAAGTGAAACTATTCCAATGCAACTGTTACCACTTCCATATACACTTTAATTTCTGTATAAAATTTACAATTAATAAATTGATGGTTGGGGGGAGGGGATAAAATTCTGTGTTATTGTGCTAGATAATGTTTTCTTAGCTCATTGAAGATTTCTTTCTTGGTTTCCAGCAGTTTTTTCTTCTTAATTTTAGAAATGCTTTTTTTTTTTTTTTTTTTTAATTAATTTTGAAGCATTAAAGAAAATCAACTTTTAAAACATTTAAGCTGGTCATACCATTACTTAATAATGGATTGATTTCTCAAAATGTTCTTTAAATTTCGGCTTTTTCTGAGACATAGTGAATTAACTTTGAAGTCATTTAGTAATTGCGAATTTTAGAAAATGTCAACTTTTGTATAAATTGTCATCTAAAACTAAAAATACTTTCCAAATTTCAGGGTCACTCAAACATATGATGCTGGTGCCTGTGTTTATTTCTATTTTGCCTACAATTACAGAGGAGTGAGTAATCCTGTGCAAACTTATGAAGAAATTGAGGTGAGTGAGTGAGATCTCTCTTTATCTTAATGCATTCATATTGATGGTGAATATTTCAAAGTGATAGGTCATTTTCCATTTTTTTTTAAAATGATCTATCGTGGTTAAAATGACATATGTACAGATCATTTTCATGCACACACACACTAGAAAAGCAATGTCACCTTGTATGAAAAGAAGAAAAAATCATTGACATATTATAAATCTTGTCTGTATTCTAAAGAATACAGGTATGATTTGTTTTGATAATTTGCAGGTTTTATTTAAATAAATAATAACCTGCTCTCTCTCTCACACACACACATACACACACACATACACACACGCTCCTTTGAAAGTAATGCCTCTTATTTATTTCTCTGGAAACTAAACTGCAGGGAGCATGTATGATAAAATTTCACGGGGTCCAAATCTCTATGTAAACACACTCATCCTCCTTGCAAAAATTTGTTTTTATAGGTAATGTCAATTGCTTTTATAGCAGTTTGATGGACACTTATCAGGTTTTCAATTTGTAGAGCATAGAAATGGATTAGCATATTTTTTCTTTGCAATCCATTCCATTCAGTGAAACTTGATCCATGATTGGTTAGCAGCCGCTAATTTACATGACCTTGCTGATCTCATTCAGTAGTGAAGCATTTTTCTTTCTTTTCTTTTTTTTTTTTTCTTCTGCAAAAGCAACATGCAATGCAAAAACATTTTAGCAGAGTACAGTGGCCTAAGAAAAGTTTTTAGCCAGGAGAAATAAACGACATCCAATTTCAAAATTTAATTGCATAATGCCAACTCAACATAAATAAACAGTATTTGGAACTAGTATAGAGTAGGTCCTCCATTTGCTAGTTTCAGTGCTTGTATTTGATTTTTCATGGATTTGATCAAGTTTTCAACAATCATCTGAGCCATATTTTGCCACTTTTTTAGCAATGTTTCTTTAAGGGTTGCCACTGACGTGATTTTGGTTGCACGCTCTCAAAGTTTTCTGTGAAGGTGCTTCCAAACGTGCTCTATTGGATTCATGTCAGGATTTTGGGCTACTGATGGCAGTGACTTGATTCCTTGCCATTCCTTCCAGGCCTTTTCTACTTTGCTCGTATGACATGGCAACCCATCTTCTTTAAAAAAGGGAGACATTCTTGTTAATCTGATTGATTTCAGATAGTGGGAGTAGTTCTTTCTCTAATATTTGACAGTATCTTGGATCATTCAACTGCTCATCAACAAGAATCAGTTCAGATTTCCCTCCAAACCAGACAGCGCCCCACACCATTTTAAAAATTTTTAATATCATGAAAATCTTTTATTTTGATCACTTTTAAACTCCAGATCATTTCCTATCAAATATCTGAAATCTACAATCTTATAAAAAATATTCAACAGTTTAGTAAATATTACTTTCAAATTTGATTACATGACATTTATCTACTCAATTAGTAAAATAGTTTAATACTTGAACTGATAAGGGAATGTTAATTTTCAAAAATAGCAATAACTTTTCTAGTGAAAAAATAAATTTGGTTGTAAATTAGGTCAAAAACAACATGACCACTGCATGTTGTAATGCTCAATATTATTTCAAATTTATTTATTTACAAATTATACATTCAGTCATTTTTAAAAACATGAGGAAAAACAGACAATTTATAATTCTGAAGATAAATAATATTCTTTCTGATTTACATATTAAGTTATTTGATGTGATGTGGCTTCCATTGGTCTTGAGGGACCCTGGATCTGCGCCCAAAGATGTCTCAGCTGCTGATGGTGGCACATCTCTTATATCTGTACAAGCCCACATAAGAGTGGCAGTCTCAATTTCAATGAATACATGTGAAGACATTCTACCCTGATGTTGTCATGTTCTTTTCTTTACTTTGGGCATGCTTCTCCTTGGCAGCAAGCCCCTGTTTTTTTTTCTCTCCTCGCTCCAGCCCTCTGTGCAAATTATGTCTCCAGTGTAACATCCTCTCACCTTTCAATGTCCATGTCCCTTTTGCAGATGTGCTTGAAGTGAAAATGAAGTCAACCTTTTGCCAGTGGCCAGTTCTGCGTATAGGAGGACCTTCAGAATTCTCCCATCAGTAAACTGTTACTTCCTGTGTTTTGCAGTGTGACACTGGAGTGTCCACTCCAATGTGCAGGTTTGGGCAACGTTGTATGACAAATTAGCAGTTGCTCATGCATTTCTATGTCATCAAAGTTGTGTAATATGACTTGGCACTGGTGTCATTACAGGAGTTGCCAGAATGAATCAATTTAACTAATGCTAATTGAGTAGATAACTTAAAATCGGATTCAGTGTTTAAACAGAAAAAATAAGGAAAATGATCATGAGGTTGAATATGTTTCCATACAACTAAGAAGAAGGTTGTAATAAGCTGGTATGAACTGAACATCTTTTCTTTTCTATCTGAATTTCTGACATGTGGAGTTAGCATTATTTACATGTGGACTATTATCCTCATGTTTATTGTTATCACAATTCAGCTGTTGTGCTCTCTGACCTTCATCAGGTGTATGTTGATCCAGGTAAGGTTGGAGGAACATTAAAAAATTATAGTGAGACAATGAAATCAGGCATGGCTGATCATGTATAGAGAGAAAATGGTAGTCATCAATCCTCTGTGGACTGGACAAAGAACAACACTGGAGAGTTAGATGTCTGAAAGAATCACTGTACATGCTAGGCTGTGAAGACCTCCCCCGTCAGCCTAGCATAGAAATAAATGTGATGTTGGAACTGCTAATAATGACAATTGACAGCAGTTCTTTAACAGCGGCTGTAACAAATGAGCACTCATCAGCAGGCAAATTGGGTTTAAGGCTCCATATTTTTCACAGAACTACGGGACAATAGCCTAGTGGATTAAAGCACAAGTTCATGAATTTGGTGACATAGTAATTGTGAGTTCAATCCCTAGACCAGGCAGTGTGTATTTGGTCTGTGAAAACAGGGCAAGCAATACTAAAAAGTAGTACTGAGCAGTACTAGACGAGATAACGCTAGTGGAGCAAGAACATAAGATTTTGTGTATTAAATAAAATGTTAGGTTCAAAATCCCTGTAGGTTACTCAGATTGACATACACCTGATGAAGGCCAGAGAGGACAACATCCAAAACATTATGATAACAACAATAAAGATCAGGACAATAGTCTGCATGTAAATAGTGTAAATAATCTTGTTTTCTATGAACATATTTATAACTTCTTGATATCATAATAAAAACTTTTAGTTACTTTTATTCCTATCTTTTATTTTATGTGCACACATGACTTGGACCTGTCAACTGCTGACAAAAGATGACATCACAGCAGTGTCATAAATCTTGCTTCAATTATCCAACAGCTTTTCTCGATTCAAATATTTTGTGAACAGATTGTAGATAATTCATAAAATCTATTGCCACAAGTAATTCTTGCAATTTTGGTTAATGCAGTGTTCATGTATTAAACTGTTTAAGAACTTTTTACTTTTGTAGGGCAAAGCACGAGATGAAATCCTTTCTAATGGAGGTAGCATATCTCATCACCATGGCGGTAAGTGCAGACTTTTAAGCTGTTTACAGGATTACCTCTAGAATAATAACTCTAGTTTTTTGGTTATTTGTTTTTTTATCAACTCATTTTATTTTGAAAAATATCTTACTGTAAAAAATAAAATAAAAAATAAAACAATTTTTTTTATATTTGAATTTTTTATATTTGAATTTCTCTAAATTTATTATAAAATTTCAAATACAAGGTCATGGATAGAATAGTAAAAAAAAAAAAAAAAATGATTAGTGGTTGTCATAAAACTAAATTCAATGTGATTTTTTGCTATACTTTGTAACCTGGCTTTGATTTATGGTGTTTCTAGTTTCTTTAATGTTATGTAACTGGTATTATTTAATTGATTTATGTTATTACATTACCAGCAACATGACACTGCACAAATCCTACAAGGTGCTGGAATTATTACTTGGCTATATCTATCCAGGTACTATCCATAAGCAAGTTGTAATAATTCTGTGTATGTTACACTTATCAAGAAAGACTTCACACCATCTTAGTAGCATTTATAAGATTTTTTTTTCTTTTTTTACTTCATTTTATATATACTTTAGATAATGTTTCTGCATTCTTTTAATTGATATCAGTTGTATATCTTTAAGCTAATAAATAAAGTTCATAAAATTGACATTTTATAAACAGAAGTTAGGAAAATTAATTTAAATGTAAAAGAATTTTTGCATTAAATTATTGGAAACCACAAGGGGGTGGATTTGCTGTTTGAACCAATTTCTCAGAACAGATTTCTGTGTGCATGTATGTGCTTTGTTTTTATTTTTGTTTTTTTGTTTGTTTTTTTAATTTAAATGAACATTTACTGTACTCAGATGTTTCTTCTAACAAAGAAGAATTTATTAAAGATAAATTTTCAAAACATCAAGTATTGATTTTCTCCTTCAACACCCAGATCTGAAAAAAATAAATGAAATAATGTTTGAATAAATCTGTACCTAACCTTAACTTGAATTGTCCTTAGTTCTGTGTTGTCTCTCTGGGAAATTTATTGAGAATGAAGTGGGAGTGTTGATTTGTAGCATAATCATTTAGATGTTTTGTATATTTTTTTTGCACAGCCAACAATCTATTTTTGAAAATAAGTATGTCTGGATAATGTGTTTATTCATGCATTTGGTATGGATACTAATATGTTTATTTATATGAGAATTACCTTATAAAATCTAATTTTAAAAAGACTTAGGATAATTTAATGTTCTCTATAATGGAAAGGTAGGGAAAAATATGCTAATGTACATAATTCTTTATTTGTTTGTGTCTTCTGTAGATGAGATTCTGATCTTAAAATTCTCATTAGAAAATGATAAATTTAAAATGATTGTCAAAGAAAGTCATTTTTCTTCATATAATGCTAAATATTATCTTCTATTTTCTATAACATTCTAAAAATAGTTTTAATAAAAACTTGGACCCTCCACATACAATTTTGTTGAAAATTCTGATAATAATCTAGATTACAGTGACATTGCTCTGTTAAAATGAATATGTTAAATATTTGTGACATTTTTATTAAACATCTGACAACCAGTTACTTATTGCTACTTATTTGACATTATTTCATCTTTTCAAGTCTGTTTTATTCTAAGGAGAGACAATATAAAAACCTATTTGAAATCAGTCCAGTGAAATTCAAACTTATAGTAATTAATTTCTAAAACAAATGTTGAATCAACATTTTTTTCTTTTGCTGATTATTTATACTTTCTTTTTTATTTATTTCAGTGGGCAAAGTGAGGAAGAAATGGCTTCGAAACACAATTGGAGATGTTGGGGTTGGTGCATTAAAGGCCTTGAAAGCTTATATTGACCCTAAAAACATTTTTGGGAATAGAAATCTATTAATTGGAAATCTATAAAAAAAACTCAGGGATTGAAAGAGTAAAAAGCAAAAAAAAAAAAACATTTTTGACATTAGCAGATTGTAATTTAATTTCTTTGTGATATGCAGTTATCTTCATTGGAAGAAACTTTAATTAAAGATATATGATTAGAAAACTAATATTTTTTTTTTTTTAATTTTATTCTCTGGTGCACTGTTAAACAATTTTGTTATTGCAGAAAATAACATCACTGTCTTCCAGTAAGCATGACTGCACAGCAAACATTTTTAATTTCTTTTCTTTTTTTTAATTTATATTGTCACAGCATATTTTTATTATTATTATTATGTTGTTATAATATTCATAATTTAAATACTTACAAGAAGGTCCAAATTCTTCAATGTCAGTTTAAAATTCTAAATTATCATTATTCTGTTATCAGTTGAGCCAGATATTTGAAAAATCTTTTTATTGGTTTCTGACTTGTAGTTTGTGCCTCTGTCAATTTTTTAAGGATTAAACTGTTTAAATTCTTGTTTTGAGATTTCTCAAATTTCTTGCAAATTTTCTTTCTAAAGATCTTGAAGAAGCAATTTATGATGACTTCCTTTTTAGTATAGTGAGATGATGATTCTTTTAATTGCATGGTGTAAATACTTTATTCTATTAACATTCTTAGAAGTGTTTTCATTTGGTTAGTAATTTAAAAAATAATGACTTTTTATAGTATGTCTCATTTAGCTTTTTTCTTGATTTTTAAACATTTGTTTTTGTTTTTTTTTCTCTCTAACATCAGCATATTTCTTATAGAAATTGCAGCACAGCATCATAAGTAGAAAGCATTAAGAAAATACAATATTTACAACAAAAAATGACAATCCTTGTTTGTAATAAATAGCAAGAACATGAAAACATTTATATTAATAATAAATGACATCATATTTGTGTAATCTAATGTTCAAAATAAATATTGAATATTAGATTAAGCTTAAGACTTTAAATCAATGTTTTGATGTGACATAAATATAGCTCAGTTATGCAAGTTCAAATCTATTAGAAGAACATTACAATTTTATAATAATAAAAACAAGTTATGCAAGTTGAAACAAAGTTTTTGGAATTCATTATACATTGTAATATTCTCATCAGAGTGACTATTAAAAGGCTGTGAAAATATAAATGTATGATGTTTTTGTGAGAGAGGCAGAAATATTCATGCTGTATATGCTACTAAATATTTTAAATATTGAATGAAAAAATATCTTATACTTGAGACATCAACAGTTATCATTTTGTAATGTTCAAATCGCCTTTTTTCTTTTTAAAGAATAAAAATAATGATGGATATGAAAAAAAAAAAAAAGAAACATTGACTCCACCACCTCCACTCAGCTCAAACACTTATCATTTTTAATTCCTTGTTTGTTTTGTTGAGCAATGCACTTTGTTTCTTTTGATAAACCTCAAAATAGTTTACTTTCACAAGTGGAGATAAATTATTTTATTTTTATTAAAATGATAATCCTTTTCTATTTTCTTTTTAGAACAAGTACTGATGATGATAATTATGTTATTGGGATCTTTGACATTGGAATAAGGAGAAAATTTCTAGTTTTTAAATAACTTCAATAATCTCATAAGTGACTGGACATAAAAAAATTCACTATTTCTTCTCTCATTACTGAACAGAAGCATTAATTATTTTATGCAATAAAGAATTTCCTAATTTTATTTTTAATTGGCTTTTTCATAATGTAAAAGTATTTTTAACAAATATCAAGTTAATCTCAACAAAAATAATAAAAGAAATTAACGTGGATAATATATATATATATATATATATATATATATATAACATTGTTTATGGCATGTTACTATTTAGTAAGCAATTCACTTATTTATAATGAACATCTTGTTTTATTTAAAATTGAATGTTTTTGCTGTTTTGTCTAGTTATGTTTTCTTTGATCTCGAAATGTTTAATGCATTTAACATCAAAAAGACCAATTTATTCAGATCTAGTAAATAGTTTTTAAAACATTAGCTTAAACTCATAAAAACAGCTGAAAATTATAATGCAATATTTTATTTGCTTCTTTTTCTAATTTTCTCTGTTTGGAAATTTGATAAATTAGAATGTCTTGTGAGTATGATCTAAGACTTTTTAAATAATTGTTTTTTTCTAATATTAGACAAATCGTGTGTGTGTGTTTATTTTTGTGATATACCACTTAGAAAATATTTATACAGTAGTTAAATAGATATTTTTAAACTATTAGATCCTCTAAGAAAAATAGATAAAAACATATGCCCACCTCCCCAAGATTCATATCTTTTATTTGGCTTATCTATAATTCACATATCTGTAAATGTAAGACTTTTAGCTCTTATTTTTATCAAAGGTAAACAATAAACTGTCTAGTTAGTTCTCTCAGAATTAGGTCACCTCACTAGAAGGACAAAGTATTAAATCCAAAGAACCAGTCTGTCACTAAACAAAAGCCAAAATTTCATTAATATGGTGATTTATTATATTTAGAATTAGCATTACATTGAAAACAAGTTTACAATGATAACACTATTTGTTATTATTTAACCTTCTCACCTCTAATTTTTCCAACTATTATTTTAGAATTAGTTTTCAGATATTTTACCTTTTTGGTTTATTAGTAGAAAAATGTTAGTAGAAAGATCTAAAATATGATAACTTATAAATACATAGAGGAACCTAGTAATTATCCTCATAATGTTTATAATTAAGAAAAGAAATTCTTGAATCTCTGAAACTTCTTAACAGAAATGTTCTTAAATCTTAATATTCATAGATTTTTTTATATTGTTGATCTATAAAAGGATGTTTAAATATTTTCTTATATAATTATTTCAGTATTCTGTTTAGATGGTGTATTGAAATTATTTCTTTTTATAATTTATATTTATTTCAGTTGTAGACAAAAAAAAATCTTAGAATGATTATTCACTTCTTCATAGGGATTAAGAATTTTAAACTACAAATTACAATTACAACTAATATTTTTTTTTATTAGATTATCCTAATCCAGGTCCTCAGATTAAGGATCAGAATTTTTAGCAGTCTTACTTTTTTTAACTGTTTGGTTACACCAGACATGCTGTATTATTTATTCATGAAATAATTTCTTAATCACTTTGAAACATTTGAAATACATGTGAACTGAAATAAAGGTAATATTTATCTATTAAAAAAACCATAAAAAATGTTAAATCTTTTAAGAATCTTACATTTTTCTGCTTAGACAATGACAACTTGATCTATATTGAGAATTTATAGATAGTCAACTGTTTTATTAAGGCAATGATTTACTGCTTTTAATACTATCTTAACTGGAAATCAAAGTTTTTTTTTACCATATATTAGTTATTAATATTTTTTTCTTTATTAGAAATAAAATTTACACATCATATTTCAGGTATTTTTACCAGTCATAATAAACAAAATCACACACACACAAAGTAAAAGCAAACACATTTTCCTTCCCATTTTCATTTAAAGTTGAGAAATTCTAAATTGCTGTGTAATTCTTTTTTCTTTTCTTTTTTTTTTTTCTCACTCACTTTAAAATTGTTTTCAGCAATGTCATGTTATTAATATTCCTTGAACCCTTATAAAGCTACATACATTCTCATGATCATTGTAACTAATTAATGCACTTAATGATCTCTCACCTGAAAAATGTAAGTTTAATTATTTTTTTTCTAAACATTTTAAATTCTATTATCCAATATTTCTTTTAATACTTTAAAAATATTATTTTGATTAATATTACTTAACACTGAGTAAATTTTTCATGTTGATTTGAACTTTTATTTTTTATCTAATTTTTTTTTAAATTTGCTCATTAGAAGTGAAATGTATTTTAAATCCTAAAATAAGCAGAACAATTGCAATTATTTTTATAATTGTATTCTATAATTGTCAAACCTACTTTTTCTGGTTTGCATGCCCCTTGCTTAACTTTTCAAATTCCTCTTGTTTTAATCTTCATCAGGACTGCTCTCATGAAAATATTAATGAAGACTTAATTTTTTTATTTCAGTTTTATTTGATTAAATTTTTTCCTCTTGTTGATTTTGGGGGTTAAATTTTGATCTATCAGTTAATTACCTGGTGCTTAATTTTATTTTTTTGTTTTTTATAATCTTATTTTGTATTATTTTTGACACAACTAAATATGCTAATAAAATTTAAATATTAAATGTGTGTTTATTTCCAATATCTGAAAAATTAAAACATCTTTCAACAGTTAAATGATTTATTAATTTTAATTAATTTTTTTTCTTTCAGAAAAATCTTTTAGCTATTCTACACCAAATAAATTATTTCTGTAAATATCTGAAATGAAAATTTTAACCAAGTTATATTAATACTCTGATAAATAGCTTGTAATTAGTATCAATCATAATTGCAGATATTAGAAAATGCTTTAAGATTCAATAAAGAATGAATATCTTGTGTAGAAGTTATTAAAACATTTCACCTTTACTAATGTGAGCAAAGGAATCCTGATTGCCTTATTAAATAATATAAGCTTTGAAATAACCTAAATCATAGGTTTGACCGAAGTTGTAATATGTTTATAGAAAAAATACTATATTTATTAAAAGTTGTTATCATATTGTTATTAACTAAATATATTCAGTATACTTTAAGTATAATAAAATGTTGGATTTTATATTTGCAGTGTAAAAACTGAAAATATGAATTTAACAATAGGAAATTAGTTCACTTATTTTAGTTTGTGAATATTATTTCTAAATGTCAGATACATCTGAAACTATGTAGATGTAACAAGCTCTTTCCTTTGCATTTATCAAACTCTCTCTAAAAAATATATATATATATATATATATATATATATATATATATATAATTTTATACAATTTGTATTTTATCCCCTTCACAATATATGCAGGGAATTCTCTTTATACTGTTATCACTTTCAGACAGTCTTGCTACTAAATTATGACAAGCTTATTACACGATGAGTGGAATCAAT